AACCATGAAGTTGAACATCTTAAAATGCATCTTCATCGCATACATCGGCGAAATTTTTAAATCACAAGAAATCGAAATCTGATGAATTTAGGGTTTCGCTGCTCTTAACGTCTGAAAGAGCATGTTGTATGTCTGCCATCTCTTTTCTGGCAGAAGTGTACATAGAACAGGATGGCCACCACCAAACGTTTCTGCCATCACTGTATAAACTTGAGACGACAGTGTCTGTGCACGACAAAATGTTCCATCTGCAAACCACGTTCGTGACTCCCTCAAGATCTGCAGGTTTCCTTGCGTGCCACAAATCAGTAATCGATTGGATCCAGGTTCACTGTCACCAATGAAGAACGATGCAAAGACACCTGGCTGCGGCGCATACCTTTTATATGATTCTGGCATAATTAGTGTCCCGAGATTTATGGAAGCCGGCGGAGCGGCGTTCACTTTGGTTCTTCTTCGTACTATAACTTTTTTTAAGTGATCGAAGATCTTGGAGCGAACCCTGAGACCCTTGCGACAGTCCAATCGCTCACTCGTTTATAACTTGCACGGGAACTTCCATGCTGTCTTCGGCAGTCTTTTGATTTTTGTCACAAGTTCTGCTATTTCCACACCAGCCGCCGAATTATCATGAGAATGTTCACCAATCTTCATGACAACAGTTGGACCTGCTGTGTGTAACCTTGCTTTGCAACGACCCTTCTGTATATAAAGCAACAACTTCAGTGTTTCGACGTTCAAAGACAAAGTTTCACATTGCGCTCAAGGAGAGCCTCTTAAGATATATAACTTGCTGGGCTGGATGTTATAATTGATCGAAATGACCAGCGTCCAATCATATAGAATCAAACGCGCGCCATAGGACTGCCCGTTGATAATGACTACTGATCGGCGCCAAGTCGTTCCATTCCGTATACCTACTACATAGCTGCTGTCGGTCCTGAATTTAAAATAATGTACTATTGATTGATGGCATGAAAATAGTGACCAGTGCCCAACCATTAACTTCAAGAAAAAAGTATCAGAAATGGCCCCGTCATGAAAGTGTAAAGAACGACAACTCATCAGTTACAAATTCACAAATCTTTCTGTTGAGGGCAAGACATCTTCAACACTGGCATTTATCGACGTATGATACGAATTTTCCAACACCTGTCGCGATTTCAGAGGTACGTTGATGTATTCGTCGGAACGAAGACCTACTCAGAACCTATAATCGCAGACTCAGGGGGTATTCTGACGTCCAATGACGCTAAATGGCACTAGTTGAATTTTCTCGACTCGAAAATGGTCTGTATTTATTGTTCTTTGCGGTTCCGTGAGTGATTAGTCTGTTTATCTGACCTACGAGCTAAAATCTTCCAGATGAAAGTTCCTTGATATATCATGCCAGATCAACTTCTGTCAAAAAATGTTTAAAATCCTGTATATAAGTTATATCCATTCTTAAACAGCTTTAATATTGAGAACTTCTTAAAAGTCTTGGTCTTCATGGAAACATGAAATATTCTGAAGTATAGCGAAGTCGAAACAAAAAACTTGTCCGGCACTAACAGTTAAAATTTAAATCCTTCATATATCCTGCTTCATATATTTAAATTCTTCATATATCCTGCTAAGCAATTCGCCAGTATTAAGACAAAAGGCGCTCCATAAAAGCGAAATAACTATATTTACTGAAAAAAACAATCAATCAATTGAAATAAACTCAAGAGAAAAAAAAATAAACACAACAAATGCAAAACTTTTTGGGGCATAGCGTTCAACGAGCATAACGCGAAGTAAAATGAACACAAATTAAAGACCAAAACCAAAACAACAATTTCTTGCTGTCCTAAAATTAATGACGAAGGTGGCGTTGTTCCCCCTTTAGAATTGAAGGCAGCCATTCTTTTTCCGGATACGTACAGAAAGGTGACTTCAACGCGAACATCGAACGATGACCTTTCAGCAATTTCTTTAAATCCGAAGGCGCTGGATCAGACGAAAAGAACAGATGGTCTAAAGATTGCTTGGCGTCAAACCTGCGACTCGGTTCGAGTACCAGCAGCTTGTCGATCAGATCTAACGCGGCAGAGTCTTTCACGAAGGTCGCTAATCGTTGAATTAGACAGCGTTCTAACCTTTCACGGAAAACCAGCTTACGAGCGAATGGCAGCTTCGAAATTTCCGGACATGTCTGTTCACAGAAGCTACCGCAAATCTTGAACATGAGCATCAGCTGGTGAATATCTGACACGCCCTACAAATCATGCTCTGTACTGGTCACACAGGCACGTAATGCAATGAACTACATTAAGAAATAGTCGACGAAAAGTGCACATGCGAACCCACATTTATAAACATGCCATAAAGCGGTAAGGTTGTCCAAACGTCCATGTCTCAGTGAAACAAAATCGAGGCTACTTCCTGATGTAAAACCGGAATGATGATATACATACATAAAAAAATATAAAGACGAATAACAAATTGCCCGTCATGATAGTAAACATTGAATGGGCAATGGTACGCATGGTTTTCACATAAGCGGAAACTGCGCTTCTCGATAGGGCCACCCATTGTGAAATAAGCTGTAAAAGGGGCGAAATAAAAATGCAGCCATCGGTGCAGACTTAACGTTTACCACACAAAAAGGCATTCTTAGACCGGCTTCTTCAACCAGGGT